CGGGCGCCCGTCGCCTGAACGGACGCCCACTTTGGGGCGTCTGTTCAGGCGGCGCGCGCCCGACTTGGGCGTTCGTCCATTTTTTTCGAAAATTTTAGGGGTTTTAGAGAGATAAACACTTTTTTGTTTTGAACGGTAAATAGCACTTTTTAAACCGTAAAGAGCATTTTCTTATATTTATTATATCCATCTATAAATATCTATACATATATGTATACGTATAATGTATATTAATTAATTAATTAATTTTTTTTTGTTTTTAATTAATTAATTAATTACCCATGTGCTTTATGGCTTTATGTTTACATTTGTTCTGCCTTCTTCATTTTTATTGGTCACTTCATATTTCTTTTTCTATATTATATTTGAAGTACGCATGAAGGGAAAAAATTAATTTCAAAATGATATTATTATGAACTAAATTGATTTTTTTTTCAAATAAATCATATTAGGTAAAATTAATGATTTCAAATTCTAGTTATTTTACCATTGTTTAGATGTATAATGCCATGTAATTGATTTCAAGTCGCGCGTTTTTAATCAACTTTAAATCAATTTAAAAAAAATTAAAATGAACTTAGGTCGAGCTTAAACTCAAGCTGGTCAAAATTGGCTCGAATCGATATCGAACTCAGCTCGTTTAAGGTTAAGGCACATGGGAAGAGATCCCATCGGAGATTGCTTTGACTTTTTTAAGGTTGTCTGGTTGAAGTGATCATGTTTAATATTTGTGTGGCATGAATTTTAATTTTTTGATACAACAAAATAACAAAAATAATGACCTTTGCCATAAAAAAACCAAAAAAGAAAAAAAAAATAAAAAAATTAAAAGGTTTCTAAAGCAGCTCCAATAGCAAAAAACTCACAACCAACACAATAGTCATTACAATCACCACACTTTCTCTCACTACTCCTCTTCACTTCTCTCTCCTTAACTTCCGCCGCGATTAGCACCGCCGGCGGTTTGACGGCGTCGTCACACACCCGCCGTCCGCTCTTCTCCGGGACCATCACCATCCACTTCTCGATCTCCAATCCCTTCTCTCCGACGCCGTCGTTCCACTGCATGTCCGCTCTGGCCACCAGTTTCGAGCCGGCCATCATTCTTCCGATGAGCGGCGGTGTAGATATTCTGCGGCGGAGCTCGAAAGTGATGGTTCCGTTTTCGAGAGATTTGACGGTTTCTCTAGTGCCGGTGCAGTTGAGAGAGAAGGTGTGGTTCCAAGTTAAATCGGATTTTGATGAGATTTTTTCAGTGTCTATTCTTACTCTTGTTTTGTTGCTTCCTGCATAGAGGTAGCATCTCACAAATAACTCTGCACATGATTTCAGATCAATGTTTCTAGCCCTTATTATTTTCAGTTCCAAGTTCACTGACAAAGGAGTATCCATACAAAGCCTCTGTGTGTGTGTGTGTGTGTGTGTGTGTGTGTGTGTGTGAGAGAGAGAGAGAGAGAGAGAGAGAGAGAGAGAGAGAGAGAGAGAGAAAACTA